CCCTGGTATTACGATATTTGGAATTTCTTGGAGAAGGAAGCATATTCGCCAAGGGCAATCAGAAGAATGGCCATTCAGTTCATCATCTGTGGGGGTAAGCTGTATAAGAGAGGTCATCTGGGAATGCATAAGCTATGTGTTGAAGCCGAGGAATCGAAGCGCCTGATGGAGGCCATCCATGGAGGAGAATGCGGTGCGCATATGAACGGAGTGATGCTAGCACAGAAGATCCTCAGACAGGGTTACTACTGGCCCACCATGGAGGAGGATTTTATCGGTTTTGTTCGGCGATGCCACAAATGTCAGATCCATGCAAATTGCATGAATATCCTGCCGTCGAAGCTGTACAACATGACTTCGCCATGGCCGTTTTCAGTTTGGGGAATCGATGTGATCGGGGCTGTCACTCTGAAGGGGTCGAATGGGCATGAGTTTATCCTGGTCGCAATAGATTATTTCACGAAGTGGGTCGAGACCCAATCGTATGCGGTGTTGAAGGCGTCGCACATTGCAAAGTTTATCAGAAACAACATCATCTGCCGCTAGGGGTCCCAAACGAGGTCATTTTGGAAAACGGTTCCCACTTCAAGAAGGAAGTGATTGACTTGTTGGAGAAATACAACGTGGCTTTCCATAAGTCATCCACATACCGGCCGCAAACCAACAGAGCAGTCGAGGCCGCCAATAAGAATATCAAGCACATATTGCAGAAGATGGTGGAAACCTACCGGGATTGGCCAGATAAGCTGCCATTTGCTCTGTGGGGCTACCGGACTTCAATTAGAACTTCTACCGGAACGACTCCGTATTCATTGGTTTATGGGATGGAGGTCGTTCTACCTATCGAGATTGAGGTTCTGTCATTGCGAGTATTGGCTGAGAATCAAATAGCCGAAGCAGATTGGCAGCAGAGCAGGTTTAAGGAACTCATGCTTTTTGATGAGAGAAGACTAAAAGCACTGTACCATGTTCAAGGCTATCAGCGCAGAATTGCCCGGGCTTTCAACAAGAAAGTTAAGTCCCGGAATCTAAAGGAAGGAGATCTGGTGCTCAAAGACAACCGAGCTTCCATCCACGACCCAAGGGGCAAGTTCAAACCCAATTGGACTGGTCCCTACATCATCAAAGCTATCTGGTCAGGTGGAGATGTGGTTCTGATGTACCATTTCTTGCGCATACATTATCTTTTTCTAAAATCTCTCAAAACCAACAAAGCTAAAGAATCAGAAGAAGCTCCATTATCAATTCATTCACTGTTCTTGATCTGGAAAGGATTTTGTTTGATTGCTTGATCGGAGACGATGCCGCAGCAATTACAGGAGAGAATCAGAGCTTTCTTCAACAACAGATGGCTTGTGTTTGTGGCTTCAATGTGGGTTCAGTCTTGTGCTGGAATTGGGTACTTGTTTGGGAGTATATCGCCTGTGATAAAGAGCACTATGGGTTACAATCAGAGACAAGTTGCCATTTTGGGTGTGGCTAAAGATTTGGGGGACAGTATTGGCTTCATTGCTGGTACTTTTGCGTGTTCACCTTCAATTTGGGCTGTTTTGTCCATTTTGACCATCTCGGTCATCTTTATCCATCAGCATTTATCGCAATCTCCGGTGCAGTGCTATTCAGACTAGGGACAACTTTCCATTGCCACACGCTGTCGTGGTACTATTCAGACTAGGGGCAACTTTCCAGTTGCTAGGATCCGGGGCTGTGCATCTCAGTGACAGATCTTAGGCATGTCTAGTTCTGATCCATATCGAAAATGGTTTTGAAAAGTTTTAATAAAAATTGACTTTGTTCAAATTAATCTCTTTACAACCAAGACCATTTTTGGACCAAAGCGGAAAATTTTCAGTACCACAACCTTCAATTTCATTGATTTCAAAACAGAGTTCTCCTACTCTTGCATACAATCGAAGTTGCTTTTTATTACATTCATAAAGAAAACTTGAATGTACTAATAAAGCAATAAATCCGGGGCATAGTCAAGTCAAGTATCCCTGCGCCCCCTCCCAGAGCTGGTCGAAGCCTCTGATGCCAAGCTAGGCCCAATCTGTGCCTCCTCATTAAGCCAGTCCCAACACTCGTCAGACAAAGTGCAACTGAAAGTGGGAGCGGGGGCTAGGAGCTCTATAGTCCTCCATGCTGTGGCATATCGGGCGAGCGGTGCACCTCAGACCGGGAAAGCAATCGGGTACTCAATTCCCTCGGGCGGACAAATTTGATCATGACCGAACTGGCGCAGGAACCGGAACGGAAAGTAGAACACACAGCGGGTCAGACCAATCAACTGGATCCCGATTAGCCGGGACATGCTATAGGTCATTGCCGGGAGATTGAGCCAAGGACAACGCCAAGCAATGCGATCTGTAGACAAATTACACATCTAGTCAAACCACCACCTCTCATCAGGGACATCGACTAGGCGCTGTCGAAAGGAATAGCCTCGAGCTGAATAGGCTGGACAAGAGTCCACAACCTGCAATTTGTCCATCAACCATACCTGGGGAGGGATGAAAAATGAGAGAATAAAGAATAGAGAGATGTACGGTGAGGAAAAAGTGAGAAGAGGGTTTTTGTGAGAAAAAATCGGGCCTGAGGGCTGAACGATGTGAGCAAATACATATGTAAGATTGGGTGGGAAACATTACCTGCAGCAGCAGTGGACTCCCAGCAAATCTAGTCGTCTCCCGGCGATGGAAAGCATCCAAGCCCATTAGCGTCTCGGCCAAGGTCATGGCGATGCAACTCTTTCCTTCTTTCAAACCTTGAGCAACTTTAATCAGACGGATGCTAGATCCGCCAAAGCCCGAGGAAAGCAAAAAGTGAGACAGCAGGCACAAGCAAAGGGCGTGTTGTCGGAGACCTTACCAATAATGGTTGCTGCGGTCAACAGCATCAGAAAAGTGATGAATTAGACCGAGGATATCCAGTTCCCCATTACAGATCAGAGATCGAGCGTCGTGTGCGGTGAGTCCACACATTCGCCCTAAAGCTTGGGCGTGGCCAAAGCGAAACTAGGGCAAAATCTCTTCATGACCTTCAGATTCCACCAAAACTTGAAAATCTTCAAAAGTCGGACATACCTCTTGCCCGCCAAAGCTAAAGACATGCGTCACCGGGTTCTAAAACCTCGCCATGGCATGAAGGAAAGGAAGGTGCAGCGGAGTGCGACTCAGCGTGAACAGTGCATTCAAACCGAAACCTCGGAAGTTCAACTTTTTCGAACCATCTAGAGAAGCAATCCAAGTTGTGAGATTTTCAACGAGAAACGCCTCCATTTTTGTGCAAAACTAAGATGAATTGAATGAACCACGGAGCTAAGGCTTTTAAAGAGGAAAAGACACTATTCGGGGGACAAGTGTCAAAAATTTGACGGTTGCTGGACTAAGTGGCCGGCCGACCACCTTTTCTGGCTGGCCGGCCATTTCCTTTTTCAAAAACTGGCCAGTGGCCTCCCCTTTGCAATAAATCTGGCCGGCCCTCCAATGTGTCTCTTCAACC